TAGGTGAGAGGCTCCTCAGCCTTCGCCTATTGCAGCGCTGTCAGTTCTTGCGCCAAGCAGCCATTTAAAATATACTGCTCAGTGCCGAGTGTCAGCATGAGGTGGGGTGGGCTGGGGGTATGGCCGTGAGGGAGTTCCATCCATACATGCATTGCTTACAGCTCCCTCACGTGTCCTGTAGAGGTGCCTGGATCAGAATTCTGGCTACCAGCACTTCTACATGCAAGGGAGCTGTACAAGCAATGCACATATGGATGGAGCTCCATTACAGCACAGCAGCCCACACTGGACCCCAGGCTGAGGATCTACTATGTGTGTGTGTGAGAGTGTGTCAGTGTGTTTGAGGGACCGTTCACACTAGTACAGTGCGTTAATCGAACAGTCCCATGTGATTATTGCACTTTACCATGCAATCACATCTACTATGCGTTCTGGTGTGTGTGGGTGGGGGGTGCAGTGCGTTGCCATTCATTTGCATGGCACCCCAATTACATCACCCACACCAGACTACGCGGTACCACAAAGCCGTGCATTCCATTGCAGTGCTACTTGGGTCACGACTTAAAGGAGAACTATGGGGTTAGGGCTTTTCCCCATAGTTCTCCTTAGGGTAACAGGAGGACACAAACTAGCGTCCTCCCGTCACCCTAAGCTCAGTATACCGCGAGCTACTGCTCGCGGTATACTGAGACGCCGCAGCCGGAGCGGATACCGACATCGATGTCGAGATCCGCTCAGCTGCGTGAGTGACAGCTGGCTCTGCCTATCTAGAGGCAGAGCCAGCTGTACCCGCCCCCTCCCCGTCCGTTCCGCCAGTCAGCGCTGGAGGATCGGAGGGGGGAATCCAGCCCCTCCCCTGTCACGGCAGAGAGCCGTGACAGGATCGAGAAGTGAGCGAACACTGGCATGTGTTCGCTCACCTCCCGATCTACTGAGCCGACCTGTGACAGTCATTGTCACAGGTCGGCTAGAACTATGAGGTGAGTGAAAAGCACTCACCTCATAGTTCTCCTTTAATGATCAAGGACAAATGTGGGTCCGGAGGTTACACAAGTTGGGAACCACTGCTATAGGGAATACCCTAGCTGACAGTAGAGGGCATTTCCAATATTCAAAGCACTCATCCCTCGCAGAGATTTTCCATCTTGCTGGGGAAACCTTTGTGCAACCTGCCTTGGGAAGAGGGAAGGAAGGCGTTAACTGAACATGTGCCACTTCGGTTCATCCAACAGGTCCCATGTCCTGGCAGGCCTCAGTGCTAAAAACAGCGGACAGATGTTTCCCCACCCATTGTTCTCGTGGAAACATCTGCTCAATCAATGCCTAGCCTTCCTGTTGCATGCACTTAATGACAGTCCATGTCCAGCTTTTGCTATACAGTTTGTTTGATAAATTGTGGAATAAGCAAAAAGCAAAAGCAGCCAATCAGAACCAACTATGCTGAAGACAAGCCAATCTGGAGGGGAATTGTGATTGGTTGCTTTTGCTATGGGTTCTGCACTTCACTCTTAGCGCTTTGTCCCTTGAACTTTATAGTTCCCAAACCTGTAAGCACATCAATGTGTTTCAATGCTTTATTGCAATACATGGCTCTATCTGCAGGTGGTGCTATAGACAACATATGAAATTGTGGCTCCCGATCCCTATAAACCGGGGGAATTACTGACAGGTGAATACGGAACTAGCCGTCATTATACTGGGAAATCCCATCATTTGTCTCACTATGTTGTCTGTCTGATACTAGGCCAAACAGGGACAGGAACCTCCAGCTACACACAATGACAGTTACATTCCTCCTGTGCCTGGAGTCCCCAAACCTGTTCCAAAACTCCAGTGATTTAATAATATGTTTATTATAGGAGTGACTGTGTTGATTTTAGATGTATGCAATTCCCATTGTATTCTACAGAGAGGAGTGCTTGGGTGCCGCTGGATGATGTCATAATAAAAACAATCATCTCCTGGAAGTAAGTAAATCGGAACAATACAAGACAAGAGCGGCTGATCTATCATTCCTATTATGATCAAACACATTCTTTCCCAAATGTCTGTAGAAGCGTCTGCATGCCGAGCGGTGCCTGATTTTATACACTTGTGGCCACAGGTGATTGGAGCACCTGAATCCAATGATTTGGAGTGGTGTTCCAATACTTTTGGCAATATAGTGTATTTCACCACTTTGTGACATCAAATTCCTAAGGCTTCGTTCACACCATTAGCAGTGCGTTCCGGTCCGTTTCCGGAACGCACTCCCTTTTTTTGCTGGGCAGCAGGGGGCGTGGTGGGCCATTCAAGTGAAGGGCACCCTAGCCACGCCCTGCAGCCGCAATGCGATCGACTGCACGGCAATCGCAAGGCACATTGTGCCTGCAGTGCGATCAAAATGCTGCAAGCACTATTTTTGATCGCACCGCACGGAACTCCTGCCCAGCAAAAAAGGGAGCCGGCCGCAATGCGGGCAGTGCGTTTCGGTCCGGAACTGGACCGCACTGCTGATGGTGTGAATGAAGCCTAAAGCTCTGCCAATAATGCCAGTAGCATAGCGCTATTACAGGGGTATGGCCCCTTCCTCTAGTCCACCCCAGAACTGTATTGAATGCTCTTTACCTGTATGCAGCTGCACTGTCCCCTTTCCACTACCATGAAATTTGATATCCAGCTTTCTTACTTGGGGCCCATTCACACCACATCATCTCCAGACCGGACCAGACCAGACCAGATTGTTTCTGGACCCAAAATGCATCCCCATGCTATTTCTGGCCTCTGTTCCCACCAGCGCAGTCCGTTCCAGACCAGACCAGAAAAATACTGCACGTCTCATTTTGTCTGGTCTGGAATGCACTGGAACTGTGGGCAGGTTCACACCATTTTCCGGACCAGATCTGGTCCGGAAAATGGTGTGAACCTGCCCTAAATGGGCCAGTAGTAAAGTGTGGGAGGTGCAAGACGGTGGCATCCAAAAGGTGGGCAAACTGGTGGCAAAAGATTTTTTAAAAAAAATGGGCTACAAAAATTCCCAGTTAAAGGAATATTGGTCCAGTGAATGTCCCTGTAGCAGACTATTGCACCCTAGCACGGTACCAGCACCGCTGGGCACTATACACCTGGCTATATCACACTGTGTTGAAAGCATATGCTCTATTCCTAGTTAATGTCAAGAGCAGGAAAATGCAGCTGTATTTGTTCTATGGAGCACATGTTGACTGTTGCTGTCATGACACTAACACTGCTGGCCACCACATGTGTCTTTGTTGTGTGAGACACTTTAGAACAACATGCGGGGAAAAAAGCCAATCACATGCATCCTACGCAGAGCTGATATGTTGTTACAATAACATAGATTCCGTTGTTTCTTCTAGTTCGTCATACGGCTTCATTCACAAGTCCTAAATCAGCCATGTTGGGGCCAAGTGTGGCAAGAGTACCTGCGGCCAGGATCCTGGTGTACCAATCAGCGTTGGCCGCTCAGCCTGTAGAACCCAATGGGCTGTAAGCATGTATCCGGATATCCAGTGGTTACCTGCAGTTAGGCACAGATGTCTGACCCGGGGCGCAGATAGATTGCCGATGTCTGTCCCTAACCCCAGGTGATGTGAGAAGACATGTTTACGGCCATGGACAGGCCCTGCTACTTATTGGCCTCATTCAGACGAGAAAAGGCCGGCATGTACAGCTCTGTGCTGCGTGCGCAACCGTATCGGGCAGCGGCTGCGTGTGATTAGTACGCAGCCCCTGTCCTTCTCTATGGGAGTAAGTGGCCGTACACCCCTCTACGCTCACCTGCCCTGCACGTCACCGTGTGGGTGAGTACTCGTACGCGGACAGGATGGATCCCGTCTGCGCCCAAGCCACCCGCACCCATACGGACCTGCGCTTGAGGTGAGCATAGGGGGGCTTACGGCCGCGTAGTCCCATAGAGAAGGACAGGGGCTGCGTACTAATCACACACAGCACCTTTCCTTCCCAGGAGCTGCCCAATACGGCCGTGCGCGCAGCTGTACCTGTTGGCCATTCTCTCGTGTGAATGAGGCCTTAGCCTGTCTTTGAGTTGTACAGGCAGAGTGATTGGCTGATCTGAACACCTGGAATACCGGCCACAGGTATTCACAGTATACTTGCTGCACCACGGACTTGTAAATGAGGCCTAAGGCTGCGTTCACACCTGTGCATTTAACGAAACGGCAAACAATGCATGTTCTGCGCAATTATAGGCAACAGCAGGTTTCACATCTGTGCAACTTCTTCATGCCGTTCCAGTGCCGCTGGTGATAATAGCAAAGATGCCGTCATGCACTGGTGTCCCCTTTCACTGAGTATGTTAGGGCAAAATAAATCAATACATCAATACAAAAAAGTTAGGCCCTGTTGGATCCCATTCAGGATCCTGCAAGTACAGATTTGATACCCGATGACCTGTCAGAAATGCACCCAGCCCCTAATTTTCTCTTGTGAACTGAATTTTGCAAAACTTGGTGTCAGCCCTGCCCAGTTTTCTGTTGCTAAACTACTAAATCCCGCCCTTTGTCATAATCTGAACAACGGAGGGGCTAATTGTTATGTAGTGCAACAAAAGAACTGCGAGTACTCCTTGAGATAACAAAAGAAGTGTGTAAAGGACACAGGACAGTGTTGAGTTCCTGGCAATGAGTAGTTATTTTTGCTCACTTAATGCCTGTTCCTGGGTACAAAAAATACTGTTGCAGTGTGGCTACCTACGCACTGCAAGGATTAACTGCCCATTTATGTCTAGGAGTATTGTGAATGGGACTTTTACTTACCTGATCCCTGTTCCTAGGGTTGCCCCCTGTCCAGAATTCACCCGGACAGTCCAGGTTTTGAATGCTGTGTCCAGGTTTCATGGCAGCAGAAACCCGGACACAAGGTGTCAGGCAGACAGGGGCTACCAAAATTAAGATCGGGGCTACTGGCCCCCCACTGAAAATAGTCTTGACTGATATTTACCTATGAATGGGTCGCGTTATTTACATATGAATAAGCCACCACTCCTCCTCCTGAAAAAAAATGTCTGCGCGTCGCTTGAGTGTTCGGGTTTCGCTTGAAGAAACGGTGGCAACCCTACCCGTACCCCTGGTGGTCAGTGCTCACCACTCTTCGTTCATGTCCCTTGGCATCCTCACCTATAATAAAGTCTATGGGCCCTGCCTTGTATGTGATGACATCAGCGGGCCTCCAATTAAGAGCCTGCAGGAGCGGGGATCAGGTAAGTAAAAGAGCAGATATAACAAAACTTTTTCAATGGTATATTTACCAAACCGAAAGGCAGCACATAAGGGAAGTTGATTTTTAGGGTTTATATCCATTTTAACTGCACCAAAGTGTGGACCAGTTCTAAGAAGAAAGTCCAGAGAATGGCAAGCTGAGGGACCCTATTGAATGGTGCTGCGAGTTAGAGAAGTTATTGGTAAAAGGACGGGGGAAGCATATGGTACATGGGTGTGGGACTGTGAAGAAACTGAGGGGTGTAACGGAAGGAGTGAAAACGACACAGAAGGGTGTGCCAGTGCTGTATGAACAAGCAGCCGCAAGACCTTTCCCAATGCAGAACATACAGACCGCTTCATAACCACAACACGCACAGCAGAAGCAAATCTGCCGCCTGCAGCCTGCCAGTGGTTACAGTTCTGGGTAATGCTGCCTATAATACTTCTCCTAAATGCCATCTCACTGGCTTTACAATAAAAGAATGAATTTCCTCCATTACTGTCTTTTCTTTCTTTTTTTAAGGCTGGTATAAACCCAGGAGAGGCGACAGCACCACCAGTGTGTGTGATTGACAAGTGACAGCACCACCAGTATGTGTGATTGACAGGCGACAGCACCACCACCAGTATGTGTGATTGACAGGCGACAGCACCACCACCAGTATGTGTGATTGACAGGCGACAGCACCACCACCAGTATGTGTGATTGACAAGTGACAGTACTACCAGTGTGTGATTGACAAGTGACAGTACCACCAGTGTGTGTGATTGACAGGCAACAGCACCACCAGTGATTGTGATTGACAGGCGACAGCACCACCACCAGTATGTGTGATTGACCGGTGGCAGCACCACCAGTATGTGTGATTGATAGGCGACAGCACCACCAGTATGCGTGATTGACAGGTGGCAGCGCCGCCAATGTGTGTGATTGACAGGGCATTGGCAAAAAATTAACCCTTGCAGTAAGACTACCATTGCACTGCAAGGGCTAACTGCTTGTATTTTCTCTAGGGGCCGGAATACAGAAGATACTGTATGCTCACCTGATCCACGGTCCCACGGTGGTCAGCACCTCTCTCCCCCTCCGCTCCGGCTATGGTGTATCTCCTGGCGTCCTCGCGTCTAATGCAGGTGAATGGACTGCATTAGACGCTTAGAACGCCGGAGCCCGGGGAAGAAGAGCCTGCGGGGACTGGTCTAGCAGCCAAGCGGAAATCGTATTGAGTGAGCTTTTTTTTTTTTATGTAGGCCCCTAGACCAAATCGAGCAGTTAACCCTTGCAGTGCAGGAGTAGCTCCACTGCAAGGGTTAGCTATTTACATTCCTGGAGTTCCTAAGAAAAAGTTAATGCATATAACTTTATCTATGGACCTACAAATGTTATTGAGGCCCCGTTCACACCGGGACGGTCCGGCCACGCGGATCCGCCGACATGAACAATCCCATACAAAGCTTTGGGGACCGTTCAAGCGACCGCCCGGGTCCGCGCGATCCAAAACTGCCCGAATTGCTCCCTGACACTTTTTTGCCGCGCTGATCAATGCGGTTTCCATACAGTTTTCAATGGAACCGCGCTATTTAGCGCGGTCTTGGACATTTTTAAATTGCGTTTCAGCACTGAAACACAATGGAAAAACTCCCAAAAAGGGAAACCGCGCTGATCCGCAACCGCCTTGGTGTGAATGGGGAAGGTAATCTCGGCTTTATGTATTTTTTTTTTTAATCATATTGACATGACTAGATTTGTAATAGGTTTACTTTAAGAATAAACAATATTAAAAATCGGTCAGTACCTGAAGGCATGCTGAATTGGTACCTCATGCAGTGTTATCACATGCGTTATTATTGCTTGAGAGGCCACTTTATCATGCCATATGTGCCATTAGGTCCTTTGTGCCATTGCCGCCTAGAATTCAGTGGTGCAGCTACCGTGTTTCCCCGAAAATAAGACACTGTCTTATCATTGTTTTGGCTCAAAAAAACAACAACACACTAGGTCTTATTTTCGAGGTAGGTCTTATTTTTTTTAATGTACAACAATTCAAAGTTAATGCAAATCTAAATCCAAATTAAATAATCCAAAATGGCAAAGCTAAGAATAGGGTGATCAGGGGTGCCGTACCTTTCCAAGAGCAATTTGGTAACCAGAATGAGTGAAGCGCGCTTTCACTATCGATTCCTCACAGGCGGAGTGCATTTGGTATCACTCCGCCTGCGACAGGAGCAGGCGCTATAGAGGAAGCATGGGCTTATGCGGCTCTGCTCCCTCCGCTGCCGCCTCGCTTCCTCTAGCGCTGGCTTCGTTGGCACAGCTGATTCTCTCCCGCCTCTTCAAGTTCCCCCTTATGTCACCACCGGCCCTGGGAATGGTCACAACTAGGTCTTATTTTCGGGAAAACACGGTCATCTCTCTTGTGTATCGTCATTGTGAAAGCTGAAGCAGGTCTCCTTGACATTTCCTCATTCATAATAAAACCTGTAATAAACAAACAACTTTCATATAATATAACACATTTGTTTGCATCAGGGTACGTTCACACCAGATGCACTGCGTTCCGGTCCGATTCTGGCCAGAACGCACTGCATTGCGGCAGGCTCACTTTTTGTGGGGCAGGAGGGGGGCGTGGTGGGCCATTGAAGTGAATGGCGCCGTAGCCACACCCTCCGGCCGCAATACGATCGCCCACACAGGATCGCAAGGCACATATTGCCTGCGGTCCGGTCAAAATGCTGCAAGCACTATTTTGATCGCACCGGACCGCAGGCACAATCTATCCAATCTGTCTGTACACACTCAAGAAGGCCCTTGTGCTACATATCATTTGGTAGATCTAAAGGGGATTGTACAACCAGATTGTATGGTGAGCCTAAAGTTGCCCATACACCTTACGATAATCGTATGCCATCGACTTTTCGTACGACAATCGTAACGTGTGAATGTAGTGCCCGACCGATAAAAGTCGTACGATTGTACATACTGACGGTTAAGCATGCTTGAAAACTTTGGTCGATCGTACGAAGTTCGCACGGTTGGTGGCGTTTCCGTCCGTCAAAATTCGTACGATTAACACTGCGCATGCGCAAACGAAAATAATTACGGTCAATTACCGCAAGTCGTCCAGGTGGTTTTTTTTTTTTACTACCGCTGATTGAACCTTTGCGATAATCGGGGCAGGATGGGGCCGTCGTACGAACATCGTACGACGGTTCGATCATCGGACGAAAAGTTTCGTCCGATAATCGTAAGGTGTATGGGTACCTTTAGAGCAGCTGCAAATTAGGATTTTAGGGCAAAATCCTCATTACAAGGTGGCGAAATCATGCTGTAGTAGGTGATCGTGTAGGAACATGGCGGGTTCTCATTTACCCCTTAAATTTGTATGTACTGTGATGTTGGCAAAGTTAGAACAAATGGCGAGCGCTTAAGGACCAGTCTTGAAGCCGTTGTAACATAACAAGGACAGTCGTATTTTCCACTATAACAGAACAGAGCTTTACTTCAGCAAAACAATATACAGTCTGCTTATGTTTCAGCCAGTAGACAATATCAAAATGTCTCACCAACTCCAGATTGTCACATATCCTCCACGTGACTCTTCCACACATCCCTTGTGTGTCCCAGGCTCACTAAGCCTCCTTGGCTGATTCCTATGGGCCTCCAGCACACACACAGCCTCCTGGCTCCACTCTGGCTTTTGGGTGGCATCCTCCAGACTCCTGAACACCTCTGTTCCTCTTCCCAGCTGGAGCCCAGAACATTAGCCAGCACCCTTTTCCAGAAGGGCTGTGCACAGGTGTGCAATTAGGTGCTGGCCACTACTAAACGATGGACCCAGGAAGGGAGATTTCGTCCCACCCAATTCTCTTGGAAATCTCCCAGTTCCAGGATCCCATACCAAATTCAGAAGAACCGCAAAGTCAGCTCTTTCCCAGTACAAAGCCAGTACAAAGGTTGCCTCCTGGAACCGCTCATCCCCTCTGTCTGAGAGTCCTGGGTGACTACAACCCCCAGTTCTACCGTGTGATTGCCACACAATACCACAGTACAGTTAATCATTTTAGATTAAAGCTCCGCTGCGGTGTTCTGTCCTGTGCTCCAGATGCAGATCGCACCTTTGTTGTGGTGCTGAACGGGGCACATAGAAGGCAATTGTTCAGTTGCTAAATAACATCAGTCGCCCGAATCTAGTGTGAATGGATCCTGAGTTATCGAAAACCTACCAACATGCGTTTTTATTCTATTTTATTATGTCTATTTGTTGTCGATGGGAGTTGTTGCTGCTGGTGAGTGGAGCAGAGATCAGGCCAGAGGCCTGGGGAAGGTAATTTCATATGGGCTTCAATGAAGTGACCCCGGATCACCTATATAGCACATTGTATCCTGTGACCTTTTTGGGGCCAGCAATGTATGGAGTACTCCACAAAGGTTACAATAGGGGAATTAGCAGAGTACAACACATGGACAGGCACTAATGAGGTGATATGGTTTATGTAAACAAAGTAGGCCTTGCTTGTTTCCGAGTCCAGGACATTAGAGCAGAGCGTGAGAGGAAATGCGCTTTTTAACTGTTCAACTATGTTTATTCAATACTAACTCGCAGAATACAAGTTTTGTTACACATAAAACACCAGGCATTATTTATTAAAGGCCTTATAAAAAGTACCTGAAAGAACTCCGTGTTGCCCATAGCAACCAGGGCCCGGCCCTAGGGCTGCCCTCTTGCTGGTAAGAGTGCCAAGTGTTGTCATGTATTCCCATGTGTAAACCCTGCCCAGATCTGATATACTAAAGCGTGATGTGAAGTAAACTTGGGCCTTAGTAAAGTGAAGGTAAAAAAGGATAAGTGCACATTGTTTACAAGGTCGCTTATCCTTTAAAGCCAAACTCCCTCTGCACTGCAAGGGTTAAATGGGTCTCATAGGGTCTAGGGCAGGGGTGGCAACTCTGGCCCTCCAGCTGTGATCTAACTCCAAGTCCCAACATGGCTCTGGGAGTCAAACATGTAACCGTCAGTCTTGCAATGCCTCATGGGACTTGCTGTTCCACAACAGCTGGAGGGCTAGAGTTGCCCACCTCTGTTCTAGGGGGAGATGAAGAGCAGCGGCGTCCCGAGGCCGGGTGTCACCCGGTCCCTAGATCAGGTGACACCCCGCCTTGACGTCACCGTGTATGCGTGGCCATCTGATTGACGCCTGCCAGCGGCGATCTTGGTGATGGACGCCAGCAGAGAGAGGAGGGGACGTTCTCCTGGAGGGATGAGGTATGCTGCCGGGTCCCTTCCTCCCTGCTGACCCCGTCGGGTTCTCGGTCCATGACTGAGTGCCCGACTTTTTAGAGGGGGTGACACCAAAATGACTCCAAGAGTAGTTTTTTCCTTATGTTCCAGACTTGCCCTTTAACCCCTTTGTGACTGCAAAACGTCCAAATGTACAATGCCCCTTGCCGTGAGAGTGATAATTAACTTTGCAGCAGAGGCTGGGAATGTGCAATGGTTCATACACACTACGG